GTGATCCTTCTCCCTCAGCCTCCCAAGGGGTGTGATTTTAGGCATGCACCACCATGACCAGGTTCTTTTGATACTTTAAACACACAACTTTATTGAGATAAAATTCACATGTCATACAATTTACCCTCTTAAAGCACATAATTCAGCTGGGCAGTGGTGGCTCATGCCTATCATCCTAGCTACTCAGGAGGCAGAGATCAGGAGGACTGTGGTTCAAAGCCAGTCCCAGGGAAAAAGTTTGTAAGACCCTATTTCAAAAAAACCAACACACACACAAAAGGACTGGAGAAGTGGCTCGAGTGGTAAGAGCATCTGCCTAGCAAGTGTGAGACCCTGAGTTAAACCCCAGTTCCTCAAATATATATGCATATATATGTATATATAAAGCACACAATTCGATGGTTTACATTGTATATTCAGAGTTGGTACAACCTTTCCCACAATTTAATTTCAGAATGTTTTCATCATTAGCTGTTCATCCTTCCCCTCCCAGCCCCAGGCAACCACTAATGTACTCTGTATCTGTATATTACAAAACTTGTGGTAAAATATGCATAACATAAAATTCACTACCTTAACCACCTTGTAGGTCAAGTTAAATTAACTTTAAACTGACATGAGAGTAAACTGATAAGACATTAAAACTGTACGTATGTATGGGTACCATGTGATTTTTCAATACATGTGTACATTGTATAGTGTTTAAAACAGGGTAGAGACATCTATGTGCTCAAACAGTTATAATTTATGGTGAAAACATTCAAAATAAGTCTTTAGCTTTTCCCCAGTTTCCATTAGCATATATTAATTGTGCAAAAGTGATGGGTTTCACTGAGAATTTCCATGCATGCATATGTTACACTTTGATCCTATTCAGACCTGTTTTACCCTTCCTCATCTCCTTCCTTGTCCACATTCCTAGTAAGCCCCCCTTTTATTTGCAGGTCCCCTTCATCCTCAAATGCCACATGTGAGGGAAATGTGCAATACTGTTTGGAAGAGACTGGCTTATTTTTTTAGCTTTGTGAAATATACATCATTATAAGTGCACAATTCAGTGGTGTTCAGATGTTCACATTGTTACAAAACAGATCTCCAAGGCATGGTCTTGCAAACTGAAACTGTGTCCCAAAGGGGAAGCTATGGTGTGATGTAAACAGTTTTATTCCTGGCTCAAGAGAGTTCTGACTTTCATTCTTGGGTTTATTTATTTAATTTATAGATAGGCAAAATAGATAACTTACAGATGAAGGAAGGGACTTACTATTTCAGCTAGCTTATCAATTATTTATTCTTGATAGAGACACATTAAAAATATAAAAGGGAAAAATAAAATAAAAAAGGATGTTAAAAATCAGAAGAAAGGATGGGCACAGTGGCTTACACTTGTGATCTTAGCTACTCAGGAAGCAGAGATTGGCAGGACTGCAGTTCAAAGCCAGCCTAGGTAAGAGGTTAGCAAAACTCCATCTCAAACAATAAAAGCTGAGTGTGGTGGCATGCACCTGTCATTCCAGCTGCATGGGAGGTGAAAAAATAGGAGGATTGCTGTCCAGGATAGTCCAGGCATAAATGTTAAATCCTATCTGAAAAATAAGTAAAGCAAAAAGCGTTGGGAATGTGGCTCAAGTGGTAGAGCACCTGCCTAGCAAGTGTAAGGCCCTGAGTTTAAACCCAAATACAAAAACAAGAAGAAGAAGAAGGAGGAGAAGAAGGAGAGGAAGGGAGAGAAGGAGGAGGAGGGGGAGGGGGAGGGGGAAGGAGAGGGGGAGGGGGAGATGAAGATGGTAAAGATGGTAATTTACAAGTAATATTCAGAAAGCAGGAAGCAGTAGTATCATATGCATCCTGGAAAGTAGCATCTGATGTGTCTGAAGATGGATGCAGGCCCTTGGGTTTATGTGGCTGTGTCCAGACACATTTCCACCTCCTGTGGCTCCAGGAGTTTTTCTGTAACCACTAGGTTGGACACTTTTGTTTGCTCCAGCTTGGCACAGCCAAGTCCTGTCCGTCTCCTTCCTTGGGTGGTGCCCTGTGGCTGTGCCAGTTTTCGATCAGTATCCCCAGGAGAGACACAAGGAGCATTCCTGCCATGCCCATGCGGATGGCATTCCCCACAGTGTAATCTTGGGTCTTGGCGTCTACAGACATAATTGAAAGAGTAAATGCTTGTTGTTCATGATCCACTCCATCCCAACTCCAGGTTCCTGAAATGGGAGCTCATTTCCCCATTTGCTTGCCAGGGCATGGTCCCACTCAGTCCCCATCCCCAAAGAGCTCATGCCATCAAATAACCACACTTGTCTATGTGCGAACTGAAGACCAAGGTGAGGAACAGTGGTTCCCAGGGAAGAAGGGGGCTCTGGCGACCCAGTGGTTTCTCTTTGTTTTTACCTTGTTTGAGAGGTTTCACTGAATTTGATCATATGGCTAGAATTCATACTCTACCACTGCTTTATACCCCCTTCCTACTGCCTGTGTTGGCAAGGCTCACAAGCTAAGAATGTTTTTCATATTTATAAGTGGTTGAGAAAAAAGGAAAAGAAGAAGAATATTTCAGGATGTGAGCACTGATGACATTCAAATATCAGTGTCCATAGAGTTTTATTGGGACACAGTCATGGTCATTCATTGGCAATAAGTATTACTTAGCAATACAGAATGGTTGCAGCTGGGATCACAGGCATTGCCAGGTTGGGAAGATTTGCTCCCCAACCCACTGTAGAAAAGTTTTCCCATCTTTATGTCAATGAAGTACAGGTAGGGAGACACAGCAGGACAGTCACCTGAGGATTTTCAGGACAAACTTTTGTGTGTGATAGTAAGGCCACTGAATAAAATGTTCATTGCTACAACAGAATATTTATTGCCACTGAAAATCCACAAGTTCAGGTGAAATAAGAAAAATGAATGTATTATTTTTTACATTTAATTGTAGGCAAAATGAGTGAGTTACAAATCACTCAGAATTTGAACCAATTACTGTGTGTACTGGGGAGAACTGGGCAAGGGGTGTTTTAAATGTGTAACAGATTACTGAGTTCAGTACTGAATACCAGTGACAAAACCTGGGTAATTCACATAAACTAAAACTAAAATTTAGTGGGGTCTCACAGCATGGATTGGGTTGGGAGCAACCCATAAAAGAAGTGGCAAGTCATTTCCTTTTGCCAACTGATTTGATTTATGAGTTGTGAAAAAAATCTTTACTGTTGTTCCTTTGTCAGCTTACTCAACTATTTGTGTTGTAATTTTCACCTTTGTTTTCTTTTTTTGTTGTTGTTGCTTGTTTTTTGAACCAGGTTCTTACTATGTAGCCCAGGTTGGCTTCAAACTCAAGATCTGCTTGCTTCAGTCTCCCAAATGCTGGGATTACAGCTGTGTATCACCATCCCCGGCTTCATGGCATCTTTTGATGGTCAAAATTCTTAAGTTTAATTTAGTTGAATTTATTAGTCTTTTCCTTTGGAGAACACAGGGTCTATATCTAATTTTAGAAACCATCTCCTCTGCCAATGTCAGCATGATCCTCTTCTGTATTCTTTCACTGGAAATATTTTTTGAGTTTTGCAATTAGGTCTCTAATCCTTTGGGAAATGATTTTTGTATTTGATTTTATTTTTCCCCTGCACTATTAACCCCAAAGACCATTCTGGCTATATGATCTCACAACCCATAGCCACCAACCACACTGCTTAGCTCACGGCAGAGCTACTGTGATGCCAATTCTTTTGAAAGACAAGCATGGGAGATGAATGTGGTCACCCTACTCCGCCACTGAAAGCCAGTTTCTTCTGTCATCATCTCGTCCTGTCCCTCCAGGCAGAGTGATGTATGCAAAAAGTATATTAAAAGTATAAAAAAACAAGATACCGTTCTTTAGAGTTGTTCCCAGGCAGTACTCACAGTGGCTTCTAGAACTTATGGGAAGTTTGAGGATTGCCAGTTATTACTAAGTTGTGAGAAACAGAAGTGTCCTGGTCTAGGTTGTGTGTGGGTCTGCTGTGTCAACATGGCTTTCTGACCTGTGACTGAGTGCTGGCTTCCCCTTCCTCAATAGATCACAGGTTTTCAAAGATCCAATTTGGAGGACTTTAGGAAGAATGTAAAAAAGTGGGTGTGAGATAAGCCCACAGTTTTTCTTTCTTCCCAGACTTGGATAAGTGAGTTCCCCTGCCCTACTCTTTTGCAGAGCACCCTTCATATTCTCCTCTAGGTGCGGCCCTGGCAGAGGACACAGGACTGGGCTGAGTTGTACGTACCTGCCATAATGAGCTCCAGGGTGTCACTGGGGGCCGACCACACATAGGGGTTGCTGCTGTGCCAGACATAACACCTGTAGTTCCTGGCAAAGCTGAGGTCCACAGGACCCAGTTTGAAGACGACCCAGTGCTCCCCGTGTTGATGTTGTGTCAAAGAAGCATTTCCCTCCTTGACCAGTGAAAATCTATCGAAAGAGCCATGTGCTGAGCTACACCTGAGGGAAAGATTCTCTCTTCCCATCATCACAAGGCTCTGATGTGTGGTCAGCAGGGGTTTTTCGTATAAGCCTGAAAGAGAAGACAGTGAGCTCTTAGCAAGATTATTTTCTTTTTCAAAAAAATATTTAAGGATGGGTGTGGTGGTGCACATCTGTAATCCTAGAACTTGGGAGTTAAGGCAGGAGGATTGTGAGTTTGAGGCAAGTGTGGGTTACCGAGTGACCTGGTCTCAAACCAGCAAAGCAAAATTATTTATTTGTATTGTGGTGTTTGGGATTGAACCCAGGGTCGATCTCGCTCGCTCTCTCTCTCTCTCTCTCTCTCTCTGCCATGCCTCTAGCCCTTTTCTTTTTTTTCAATTTTGTTTTTGAGACACAGTCTCACTAACTTTCCCTGGCTTGGCCAGAATTTGAGATCCTCCTGCCTCAGACTATAGAGTGCTGGGATTGCAGGCATGAGCCCCAGCATTACGGCTGTATCGCTGTGATGTTATGATAGACGTATGCACTGTAGAATGAGTAGATTGGCCCAATGAGCATATGTATTACCTCACATACACATGATTTGTGGTGAGAACACTTGAAAAATACTCTTAGAGATTTTCAAATATACAATACATTGTTAACAGTCGTAGTCATCATGATGTTTATTAAACATATCCTTCCTGTCTAAATGAAATTTTCTATCTTTTGACTGATACCTTCCTAACACTGCCTCCCAGCCTCTGATAACCACCCACTCTATTCTCTACTTCTAGGAGTTCAATATTTATGTAGTCATTTCTGGGATAGACCCAGGGCTGCATGCATGATAAGAATGTGATTTACCACTGAGTTATTTCCCCAGCCCTGATTTCAAGTTTTAAGATTTCATTATAAGTGAGAGCATGTGATGTTTGTCTTTCTGTGCCTGGTTTGTTTCACACAGTATAAGGTTGGACTGGTGGAGTGGCTCAAGTGGCAGAGAGCCTGCATAGCAAGTGTGAGGCCCTGAGTTTTAAATCCTGGTACCACACACACATACATAAACACACACACACACACATATATACACATGCATACACATATACACATACATGTACACACATACACACATTCATACACACATACACAAAGACACACAAACATACACATATACATACACACATACACACCTACACACATATACACATACAACCATGGCATAAGGTCCTCCAGTTTCATCTGGGTTGATGCAAAGGACACATTTCACTCTTTGCTAAGGCAAAATGGCATTCTGTTTTGCACACACCATATTTTCTTTATCCACTTATAACTTAATGGGCTATTGTATTTTTTTCCATATCTTGGCCAAGAGAAGTGGATTTGCAGATACTCTCAGTTCTGAGGGAACCACAGAACCTGCTCTGTCCCAAACTATCGCAGATAGGTCTAAACAAACGAACAGTCCTTGGGGCTAAGGGAATATGCCATTTCCAATATAGGATCAGACCTCTAAAGACAAAAGTCATTTGTTGGGGGAAAGGGTAGTGAGAGCTATAGAGTGTGAGGAGCTGAAGGAGTGAAGGAGGAGACACTGGATAAAGATGGCAATAGTGAGAGGACCTGGACCTTGTTCTAGGGACACAGAGACCAGACCACCTGGAGGACAGAGCTTAGAACTGGCATGGTGAAGCAAGTTCCCACTCCCTGGCTGTGGGCTGTGGAAAGGGTTGGGTAGGAGAAGCAACCTAACAAACACTACCTCACCCAGGGGCTCAAGGTCAATGTCCATAGCCACTTGTTGGTACCTTTATTGTGACACAATGAATGTGGCATGTGGCCTCTGTGGTCTTCCTCACAATGACCCATAGCCCAGTCTAGTCATGAGAAAAGTATCAGACGGACTCCCAAGAGTGAGAAATCTAGAAAACACGTGTCTGTACTCCTCACAACTGTCAAGGTCATCAAAAACAAGGGAAGTCTGAAAAACCAACAACCAAGTGGAACCTAAAGAGAAATGCAACCTGGGATCCAGGGTGGGGTCCCAGAGTAGACAAAGGGTGTCAGGTGGGGATCAAGGAGATGATAAGTGTGATACATCATTGTGATACTGTAGCAGAGAGGAGGATCGAAAGAAAACAGACAAAGGCCTGAGTCCTGAGAAAGTAGCAGGGGGGTAGGGATGGTTTAGCAGAGAGATAAAACCTGAGAAATCTGAACACGAGGAAGGTCACGTAGCACCAGGGAGGGGAAAGTCACATAGCACTAGGGTAAAGTAGCCAATAAAATTAAATATAACCATATATGGATTAGACCTTGATTTTTGCTTCTGTAACCTGCTTGTAAGGGTATATAAGGTGAGACCCCTTTGTTCTCAGGGCTCAACCTTTGGACACAAGTCCACTGAGTCTGTGCTGGCACAATAAACATTGCTTCCTGCTAATCGCCTCAAGAGTCCTGTATCTCAGCTATCAAACTCCTGCAACAGTACTGTCATAGGTGTGCACAGTGTGCTTTGAACAAGTTTATCCCTCTGTTCTATTCCCTCAACACCTTCTCTCCTCCCCCTTTTCAAACAATGGTGGATTTCATTATGTTATCCTTTATATATATATGTTATCCTTAAATACATATATTTACATGTGTGTGTGTGTGTGTGTGTAGTATTTCAATCTTTGGGACTCCCCTTGTATATTAATGTATGCTAATAAAAAGTAGTAAACAATGTTGTATCAATATTGAGTCATTCAAGAAAGTTTTCAAAAGATGTACAAATGGCCCATCAGGGAAATACAAATCAAAACAATACTGAGATTCCATCTCTCCCCAGTCAGAATGGCTAGCATCAAAGAAAACAAATAACAAATGCTGGTGAGGATGCCCTCACACACTGCTGGTGGGAATGTGACTGAGTTTATTCACCGTGGAAATCAGTGTGGAGGTTCCTCACAAGACTAATAGTAGACCTACCTTATGTTCCTGTTCTACCACTCCTGGGAATATATCCAAAAGAATGTAAGTCAGCCTACAATACAGACACCTGCATACCCATGCTTACGGCAATACAACTCACATTAGCAAAATTATAGAATCAGCCTAAGTGGGCATCAAGAGAGGGAACGGATAAAGAAAATGTGGTATATGTATACAGTGAAATATTATTTGGTCATAAAGAAGAATGAAATTACGTTATTTCCAGGAAAATGGATGGAAATGGAGGTCATCATATTAAAAAAATAAGCCAGATTCAGAAAGATGGATGTCACATGTTTTCTGTCATGCAGAATCTAGATTTTTAAAGAGACATGAAAGTACAAGAGAGACTTAGGGAGAGGGAAGAAGGGGGCCATTTGGAAGAGGGAAGAGGAGAAAAGAGTGAAGGCGGTGAGTAGCATAGAAGTACATAGTATGCAAATATGAAAATGTCATACTGAAATCCATTATTTTGTACAATTAAGTAAAAGGAAAAACTATTGGTTCATTCATGATAAGAAGCAAACTATACTAGGGTGTTAACGAGGGGAGACTTAGTACTGGCTATATGGGGAATACTCTCCAGCACTGTCTCAACTTGTCTGTAAATCTAAAAACGTTCTCATAAATAAGTGTACTCAAAAATAAGGGGAGCAAAGTCAGCTGAGGGCTGGGCCACTGAGACTTCTTACCAGACACCTTCAGCTGCAGGGTTTTACTCTGCTCTGACCAGCGGTATCCTTTCCTGTACCGGCACCCATAACGCCCTGCGGTGCTTTCATTCATGGGGCTGATGACAAATGCAGCCTCCTTCTGGAATCCTATTTTCTCCTCCACCACCTTGTGTGTGGAGTTTTCAAGGATGAAGAGTTGGTATAGGAAGGACTCTGACGTTCCTCGGCACAAGATCTTCACAGACCCATTCCAGGGGATCACAAAACCAGGAAAAACACACATAGTGGGAATGGGAAAGTCGCCTGGAAGGAAACAGAACAGACTCAGGTGGTTCCACGCAGATTCCTCTTCCTCCCTTCTCTCTGTGGTGGTGGTGGGACACAAATGTAAATGACCTGCAATTATTTCCCCTTTTTAAAAAAGCATTCGTGGGTGATTTTTAGTACATAAAGTATGCATAAAATAAAAATTGCCATTCCAACAATTTGTTTTTATTCTTACTTTTTTGAGATGGGATCTTAGTATGTTACCCAGGCTGGCCTTGAACTTGTGATCTTCCTGCCTCTGCCTCCTGAGTGCTGGGATTACAGGTGTGAACCACCATCCCAGGCTTCATTTTTAATAATTCAGTGACAGTAATCACATTCCTCATGTTCAGATACCACTATCTCAAACAGACACCCTGTAACCAGTAAGCAGTATTTCTACTTTCTAATCTGTATAATTTGACACTACATATAAACAAAATCACACAACTTTTGACTTTTTTGTCTGGCTTTTTCCGTGCCATAATAACTTCAAGGGTCCTCTATGTTGTAACACAAGTCAGAATTTCATTATTTACATTTTGGTGGAGCTGGGTTTGAACTCAGGGCTTCACACTTCCATGGACCTCCAGTCCATTTTGCTTTGGTTGTTTTGGAGTTGGGATCTCCTGAACTATTTGCCAGGGCTGACCTTGAACCATGATCCTCCTGATCTTAGCTTCCCAAGTAGCTAGGATTACAGGTATGAGGCACCAGAGCCCAGCCTCATTCCTTTTTATGGCTGAATAATATTCCAGTATGTGTGTTAACCATATTTTGGTTACCTGTCACCTGCCCATGGACATTCAGGTTATTTCTACTTTTCAACTATTGTGAGCAATGCTTCTGTGAGCATGTGTGTACAAACATATGCTTCAGTCCTTGTTTTCAATTCCTTTGTTTATATGTGTAGGAGTGGGTTTGCAGGATCACAGGGCAAGTCTATGTATAACTTTTTGGGTGGACAGTATTGAGGTTTGAATTTAGGGCCTTTCTGAAGCAGGCCACCTGCCACTGGAGTTGCACCCCAGCCCTTTTTCCTATAGGTTATTTTTCAGATAGAGTCTTGCATTGTTTGCCCTGGCTGATCTTGGACCATGATCCTTCTGTATTGGCCTCCTGAATAGCTGAGATGTCAGATGTGTGCTACCACACCTGGCTTGTTTGTTGAAATGAGGTCTCACTAACTTTTTGCTTGGCCAGACCTTAACCTGTGATAGAAGATTGCAGTGCAAGGCCAGCTCATGCAAAAAGTTCACAAAACCCCATCTCAATCAATAAGCTGGGTATGCTGGAGCATACCTGTCATCCCAGCTACACGGGAAGTGTAAATAGCAGGATCAAAGTCTCAGATTGGTCCAGGCATAAACATGAGACCCTATTTGAAAAATAACTAAAGCAGAAAGGGTTGCTGGTGTGGCTCAAGTTGTAGAGTGCCTGCAAGTCTAAGGCCCTGAACCCAAAATCTAGTAGTTCTTCTCCCCACCCACCCCAAAGAAGCATAATGAAACCCACTAAAAACTTAGAAAGGGGGAGGAGGAAGAGCAGTGAAGAAAGAGTAAATATAAAAGGGGTGAATTTGAGTACATTATATGCATGCATGTAAATATCACAGTGAACCCCTTTGTACAATTAATTTATGCTAATAAAATGTAAAAAATAAGAATGCATAACCCCCATGAGTACATATCTGTGGACGCGTGGTCTAAATTCTAAGGCTGTGGAGTGGAAGGTGGTGGCAGATGTGGGTGTTCAGAGAGGACATGTAGGAATTCCCCAGGTGGCGTGGGTAGACAGGGTCAGAGCCCTCCGTATAGGAGGAGACCCCGGGAGAGAGACCCCAATAGATGGAAGGAGAAACTCAGTGTCCATCAGTGCGGGTAAAGACTGGAACCTCAGAGGGAGAGGGGAGATGCTCTGGAAGGGTCAGTGCAAGTCAGAGTGGGCAGGGCTGTGGGGCTTGAGGAAGCTGGTGGGATTATAGACCGTTGAAGAGCTGTAAAAGGGAGCTGAATTTATTTGTATTTTAAACACACAAATAGCTGGTGAAATGGCTCAAGTGCTAAAGCGCCTGCCTGGCAAGTGTGAGGCCCTGCATTCAAACTCCAGTACTGCCAAAATATATTAAGTCAACACACATATAACCCAGGCTACAGTCTTTATATAGAACTGGAAGAGAGAAGATAGGAACAGATGTGGAGTTCACACCTAATAGGCCAAGGCAGAAGTTGAGGTGACAGAATTTACAGTAGAACATTAGTACTTCTTAGCACTTACCTTAGTGCCACTTAGTGTTTACCTAAGTACTGCTTAGTGCTTTGCACTTTAGGGGAATATGAGAATATAAAGTAGGGCAGAACTAAGACAGCTTCCCTTTAAATAAGCGAAGTGAATAGACTTAGGAGAATTAGGTTGTGAAAAACAATAAATATAGGGAAGGATGTTGAGCTAAGATGACTCCTGACTTCCTCCTCCTTTTGGTCATCAATATTTAGTAAAATACAGAACCTTAATGGACACACAGCTAACCGAGTCTGAGACTGTAGCTCCAGAGGGGTGTGGAGTTACAACAGCAAGAGCAAAATGTTTACAAGAGAAGCACAATAGAGAACTAGAATGGGAGTAAAATGGGAATTTATCTGGGCTTCAGACTGTCTCCATTTATTCTATACCAAGGCTGCTGTGAGAGTCTGAAGGCTCAGCAGAGGGGTTTTTAGGGGAAACTTACCTTCCTGTGCCTGAATCCTCTGACCCAGGCAGAGCACTGAAAGAGAGAGACTAATGAAATATCAACCCTTCAGTGTCCAACAGCTAGTACAAATCACCCTGCATAATGTCATTTAGAGAAAAATATATATGCATGTATATATATCTAGATATATCTAGATAGATATAGATATCCATTTAGTGCTAAGCACTCATGCAGTTTTACTTCCATAGCAAGCACAGTGTTAAGGCATACCCTTCAATTTTTAATCCCCTAAGTCTGTCTTCTGTAGGAACCCTGGAACTATGTGTCCTGGAAAGCAAAGCATGTCCTGGGTTGAATCGAAGTCATTGCACCCCACAGTTAGTTGTGACTCAGGTGGAGACAGTTATGGCTATCTGGACACACACCATCTCTCTATTAAGGAGAGCCACTCAAATCACCAAGTCCTCATGTTAAGAGAGACTCTGGCTATTGTGGGATCCCCCATCTTCCCCTGTAACCCACTTGCATTTTAAGGACTCACCAAGGCAGAGGATTATGGTGATATCTTTGGGGTCCATGATGCCGACGTGGCCTTGGTCCAGTTAGCCACCCGCTGGTGTGCATTAACACATGACAGACACTCATGAGACTGTAGGACTCACAGGAAGTGTGAGGTTGGAGTCCAAGGATGTCTACATCTCTTGAGGAAAGAGGAACAGCCTCTTTTCAAAGAACTTAGCTATTGGGTGGAAGCCAAGAGGACACCTAGACTCATGATTGTGTTTCATATGAAAAAGGAATATTTTCTTCAAACTAATGTTTAGTGCCGTTCGAATCCATATTTAAGTCAAATTCCACATCCAAATGGAAGAACTTGGGACAGAATGTGAGTGGGTACTATACAGAAATTTATCTGTATTTTTTATTAAAAGCCATGTGGCCTTGTCTGTTGCAGAACTACGTGCTATCTTTGGGATTCTTGGACTGAGTGTGTTACCTTGGACTTGATCAGACACACAGTATACTTATGGTGAGGATGACCTCAATGATGGAGGCAGATCTTTAAAGGAAGAGGCTCCTCTAATGAGTTTTGCTATGGCTATCCTGAATGTTACCTAAAATTTGCTCTGAAATAAAATCCAAATATTTAAAAAATTTTGGGTCAGTTTATCCCAATTAAAGATGTTTTAAACATGCAAGAAAGGAGTTTCAAAAAAAGAAGGAAATAACCTCCTATTTTATTTTGGTTGAAGACTTTAACTGTCACAAATTCTTCAATTGTGAGATGTCAAATACTCCATATCAAACTTTCTACCAACCTTTTTTGTTGTAATGCTGTTTCAGTCTTGCATCCCAGCACACTATTTGATAGTCCCGAGCCTTTCCCATCTTTCAGAAGGCAAAGCAGCTCCTACGCTTACTGTTTATTTGGTTCAAATTCAAGTTGTGCTTTCTTTCACCATATTCCATCAATTTCCACACATGTAAATATCTTCAGTCATCTGGAAATTTGGTGATGTCACTTGCATAAAATTGACCATGCTCCAATATTCTTTTTTCCCATAGTTTAATCTTTTTATTTCTGTACAAATACTTGGTATGATTTAGATGAGTCATTTTAAATTAAATAATCCAATATTCTTACTTAGGATTTCTACCTTGTTTATTCCTTTCTTCTCACTTAAATGGAGACTGGGTGGAGGGAGATGTAATGACCTTGCTGTGTTGTCAGTTGGGTGTTTAAAATGAGTAGAGAAGTAGTGGAAAATTTATGGATTCTAGAAGTAGAATTGTTAGAAAATGTAAAAGGCATGGAAGAGGCAGAGAGATGGCTCAAACACCAGTACAGGGTTTATTGTTCAGGCAGGAGCCCTGTGGAGGGGGACCCCAGCAAGAGAGCTGGAGCCCATTGCCATACACAGGCTTGAGCCAGATATAGGGGATAGTGGAAAAGTACCAGGAAGGTCACAATGGAATACAGTTGCTGGGCAACCGAGGAAGATAAGTTGTGGTTAGGCCACTGTCTGTTCAACTGTCCTTGGCACCCATCCAGAGATAAAGGTTAACAACTGTCCCTTTGTCAGTCTATGGGATTGGGTGGGGAGTTTCTAGTAAGCCACCTGCAAGGGGGGAGGAAGTCTGATCCTAACATGGCTGTCCTCACTTAACCCCAACAAGAATAACCTGATTTGAAATACTATCATTGTTGCTTAAAGACTATGTGTCTCTCAAGAAGGAAGAGATACAAATTTTGTTTTGACTCCAGGAAACTTCCTGAGTCACATTTGCTAATAAGTGGGGGGGGGGGGATACATAACCACAACCTTTGAAGTGAGACTTGTTTGTTTCCTTTTTTAGAACAAGAATGGTAAATGGTTTCAAATTTTTTACCACATTTCACTCCTTCTGCTTTCTCTCTCTGCCCCTTTCCCACCATCAAAAGCCCTTGATTGGGCCCAATATTGCAACACCAGCAAGCAGCTCAGTACAGTGACTCCTGGATGACTCAAGAACTGAGCTGAGCAGCCTGCATATACAGCCAGAAGGAGGGTGTGTAAAAAGTCAAAGGTGTTTGCACCAATCATAGCACAGCCTTCCATGCAAATAAAGAGCCACATTGCACCCATCTCTGTGCAGTATGAAGGACTGTGCTTGTGCCAATCACAAGTCTTCTGCTGGTCCACCGGGGGAAGTGCTCTCCCCTTGATCTGGGTGCAAGTGGCTACTAGAGTTCACTGAGGTCTACACTTGATCTTAGCCAAAAGGCCAAGAAGCAATTATTCAATGAGGTATGGTTTCTCTTTCATACATATTTTGGTCCATTATTTCCAATTTCATTAGATTCTGTTCTCTTGAGTGCAGATAATTAAAGGTAAGACCTTAAATTCAGGCCAGATATGGGGATGACAAAAAGCTTTCTTGGACCTCTATTGGACTCAACCCCAAATTCTAGGGTATTAGCAAATTTTTTCTATAAAGGGCCATGCACTAAATAATTTATGGTCACATGGTCTCTGCCACAACTGATCATTGTTGTCACAGTATCATGAAAGCATCTGTTGATAATAAGTAAATGAATGAATGTGGTTTTGTTCCAATAAAACTTTATTAACAAAAATGGATAGGAGGCTGAATTTGGCCTTTAGGCTGTGGATTGGTAAAAGATAAACCCTTTTACAAAGATTTATAACACCATTTCTGAGTGTAGTTTCCTTAAGTTTTTATTAGCATGTATTAATTCTACAAAGTGAGGGGTTTCATTATGACATTTCCATTCATAGATATGATGTACTTTGATCATATTTGCTCCACTATTGCCATTTTTTACCTCTTCTCCCATTTTCCCCTTCCTCCACATCCCTTAAAAGTCCCCTTTTATGATCATAGTTTTTACCCCTTGAGATTCCAAATATGAGAGAACACATGTGATATTTGTTTCTCCGAACCTGGCTTATTTCACTTAACATGATGATCTCCAGTTCCATCCATTTTCCTACAAACAACATAATTCTTTATGATTGAGTAATGCTGTATTGTGTATACACACCACATTTTCTTATCCATAGTAGATCCCATCTTATTGGACTTATTAGTATCAGGTGGTTATGACTCTGAGAGTAATAACAAGGTATTTTTGATCCTTTGCTGTAGTCTTTGAATGAACACATGTCCTCCACAAACTTACGGAGGGAAGCGATACCAGTCTTGGAAAGAGTCGGGTACCATGTGGATTGGCACTGTTACTATCTGTACAACCATCAGAGATCCTTTTGTGACATCTGGCATTTCTCAATACAACAAAGGGGAAAGGTGATTATGATGACTTAGACAAATGGTTCCCCTTGCTATTTCCTGATATGTGAATTTTATTATTTCAGGAAGGGCTCGTAGGCATGCTTCTTAGCATGTCTCATTAAATCAACAGGTGAAAAACTTCCTACTGGACAAGACATGACCACTGCCTGTGTATGAAGCTCGACTTCATCCTGTATCATTGCAGACATTGCTTCAATGTCAGCTTGTATCTATTGCTGTTTATACTACTTTTTCTTTATGTTCTGATGGTGGTAATTTGTTCCTTCTTAGTATGAATTATTTTTTATTTAGATTGAGGTAACTTAATTATTGTTATTTGTCCCTGCAGATTCTTGAATCACTTAAAATGAGACTTCTGAGAAATATCTGGATTTGTGATTGGAAGATTTCATGTCATCTCCCATCCTCTAAACAGGATCAACTTCTATTCACTAGCTCTTTTTTCAAGCTACCAATTATTTTGGTCAGTTTTTTCATCACTATAACCAAATACCTCAGGAAAACAGTTCAAAGGTGGAAAGATTTATTTTGGCTCACAGGCTTACAGTTTTAGAGGTTTTAGTCCATGGTTGACTGGCTCCATTGTCTGTGGAAAAGTAGAAACATCATGGTGGAAGTGTGTGGCAGAGAAGAGTTGCCAGGGATGGGGGAGAGATTGACATTCAGATAGAGATAGAATGGGGGGGGAGGGGG